TATATATATATATATATATATATATATACAGTATATATATATATATATATACAGTATATATATAATGGTGTGTGTTGGTAGGTCCTTAAACGTGTGGAAAAAAAAAAGTGCAGAAATTATTTATAACGTGTACATAAGTTTCAATTAGTTATTTGTTGCCACAACACATTACAGATGTGTAAATATACTTTGTGGGTTTAAAATGTATGCTAAGTATAGTAAATGGGTAAATATACTATACTCACAAACTAACTTTATCACCAGGAAGTGCCCTTGGTTTCAGCTCTAGGACTATTGTCTGAATTTGTTTTGGGCTCTCTTTTGACCAAAAAAAGAAAGAAAGCAATCAAAGTATCCTGTACCCAAAGTATTTTACTTTCAAATGTGCAGTGGACTGAATATAGACAAAAATATATGCTTTGCTCAATTATATGACAATCCCAACACAAAGCAGAGCCTGAACATCTGTTAGCTAAATACCATGACAATCATATTTAAATTATAATCGAAATCAATTATAGGAATTATTTAATTTAATGATACATTTTATTAGCGAAGCCTTAGTATACTGCATAGCATTTCATAAAGAGCATCACTATTTTTATGACAATATAAACCCTGTTTTGATTTTGACTTATTTATTTACTGACTTAACCAAACACTCACATTTTCAAATGCTATTCAACAGGCAAGTTTCACACTAAAACTTCTCTAATATTTCTAATTCATATTCATCCCAAGCCAGTAACAATAACGGAAGCAGAGCTCCTAGAGATTTGAAATGCAGCTCCAAATGTGTCCCCAGTTTTAGCAAAGGATTGTCAGCCAGCTCTATGCTTCTTTCCTAATGTGTTTAAAATCAGGCCTGAATCTATGAAAATACTGGCTAGTGAACATGACACTCATGATAGATCTGAATCCAGAAAAAGAGACTTGAATTAAACACATAAATAAAATCTATGCTTAAGATTGCTTTAATCGTTTTTGTTTATAAAACACACCTGAAAAAGCCAACCATCTTTTCTGAGAAGTATTTCTTATAAACATAGGCATCTCTTCAAGCTAATGGTACATTTAATTTTTTAGTTTAAAAACACTATACATAATAATATTATCATGCTTTTGCATGGATTATACTCCAACTACCTCAGTGCAAACAGCTCTGAAAATTATCTAAATATAGGAAGAGACTAAAGAGGTGAACTTACACAGAGCCCAGGCAAGGATGGGATGAGTCTAAACCGAAAACTCTGAATGAGAAACTAAAAATATGAAACGGTTCACAGTAATTTATCAAGCCACTCCTCAACACCGCAATTTCCATTTTAGGAGGAGATGTAAAAAACATGTTAGAGAAAACATGTAAATACAGACCCACACACGGATAATAGATTTATCATTTGTTTAGCTTCACCGTTAAAAAGCTTGAATGAAATGTGTTCACATTCCACTTTTGGATTATTGGAGATGTTTACAGCTTTGTGTTTGTTGTTTCCTTAAGTTCTTAGTTAAATCTAATTTAGTTCACCAAAAATGAAAATTCTGTCATAATTTCTTACCCTCATGTCATTCCAAGCATGTAAGTGGTTATATTTTTTCTATGGAATAAGCCCTAAAATGCACAAAAGAAAAAGCATAATAAATGTAGTCCATATGCTTATGTGCTAAATTTCCAAATCTTCTGAACTCATTTGATAGCTTTAAGACACAGACTGACTTTAAAGGGTTAGTTCACCCAAAAATTTAAATTACCCCATGATTTGCTTACCCTCAAGCCATCCTAGATGCATATTACTTTTTTTTTTTCAGACGAATACAATCGTAGTTATATTAAAAAACATCCTGGCTCTTCCCAGCTTTATAATGGGAGTGGATGGTAGCCCAAAATTTGAAGTCCAAAAAATTTAACCAATCCATTATAAATAAAGTCCACACAGTTCCGGGGGGTTAATAAAGGCCTTCTGAAGCGACGCGATGCGTTTGTGTAAGAAAAATATCCATATTTACAGCTTTATAAACCTTAATCTCTAACTTCCGCTAACTGTCGTACGCGCGTTCACGAGAGAGTGACATCCAGCGGATGATGTAGGCGTAGCGTAAACTCCAGTGAGAATATGCTAGTCTCGAGAGAAACAAGTTTTGTTTACAGTAAAGGAAAACCAGTGTCCTCTTGGCTTATATTGAAATCCTCCAACATTTTTCTTTACAAATCCTCGTTTTATACTACTAATTCGTGACCGGTGTTTTGTTTTGCTCTCTCCTCTGTGCTTCCACGTTCGTCACTTTCGCGTTCGTCACCGCGTTTGCCTACATGCTACGTCATCCGCTGGACGCCACTCTCTCGTGAATGCGTGTATGACAGTTAGCGGAAGCTAGAGATTAAGGTTTATAAAGCTGTAAATATGGATATTTTTCTTACGCAAATGCATCGCGTCGCTTCAGAAGGCCTTTATTAACCTCCCGGAGCCGTGGACTTCTTTTATAATGGATTGGTAGAGCCAGGATGTAGGGTTCACTACATGTAGGGTAAATAATGAGAGGCAAACGCAGGTCTACACAGAAACCAAATGATAAAGATGCTCCGAAGACAACAAGAGGCTGTTCAGTGCCAAGTTGTGGGAAAACACAGTGTTTGCTTTGCCTTCCTTCTGATGGCAACATTAGGAAAGAGTAATCAGTGAATGAACTTTATTTTTAATGAAGATCCAGACTGTGTTGGTAAGAACTTGGTCCTTTGTTCACTTCATTTTACCGCAGATTTGTTTACAAACAAAGCACAATTCGACGCAGGATTTTCAGAAAGATTGAAACTAAAAGACGATGCTGTGGCGACTATAGGATCCGACCGTAATGTTGCACCACACAAGTGTGAGTAACTGTTTTTATTACGTGGTCACTATTGCTTTGTCTGTTATTACCGATCGTTTGATATGTACTGAGTATTTATGTGTTTTTAACCTAAATCACAGCAGCGTCCATCTGTGAAGGATGTTTGTCAAATACACAGCTGTTAGCCAATCATAGCAGTGGGCATTCGAGTCTACAATCTGCGTCCGAGATCTACAATCTGCCACGTCTATTCAAGCAGAGCGTTCTGATGAGGGGGGTCAACACAGGACAGAAAATAGCCTATTACTTCTAAATTATCATGTGTTTTGATGTGAACATCTTGATAACATTATAAGTGGACCTCAAAGAACAGTACAAAATAATACAAAATGCAGTTCATGACCCCTTTAATAAAAGCAGATAAAGTGATCCCATGGCCTGTTCCAGACAGTACCTGTAACTGCGAACATTTCCTCTCATCAGCAAGACCACAAGAAGCATTCTGGCTTCAGATCTCAGCTGCTCTTCCAAACAAAATGCATCGTGTCGAATACTGTCTTTATACAGTAAAACACAACATAGCCACATTCATACACCACATACAAGGCATAACATACTGTAAACATGGATAGACAAAACTAGCATTTTAGCATTGGTTATGTCAGCAAGAAAAGCATTTTACAAGATGTTAGAACCCAAAATGGTCATTTATATTAAACCTATCAGCAGCTTTATTCATTATTTTATTCACTTAGCTCAGGTTCAGATGTCCTGTTTGGATGTGTACAGTGTTGGGTTGGTTCAGTTATCAAAAATGACTTGGCTAATTCTTTCATTTATGCATCTTTAACACAGTATTATTTATATTGTTAGTTCTCAAGGGGTGGGTCACCAATTTTATTCTGACAGGGTCAATTCAATATTTGAGTTTAAGGAGATTTTTGTTTAGTTTTGTAAAGAGAAACCAATTGTGAAGCACTGTTTCTGACACGTATTCTACAATCTTGAACAATTTCATAAACCTGAGGAATCTCAACAGGCATTTTATTCCTTGACATGTTGTATTTCATATAAGAATTAAGTTCACCCAAAAATGAAAAATTGGCTGAATTTACATAGCCGATTAATCTGACCAAGAACTACCCACATAGACAGGGCCAACATGTAAACTTACCACAGTTCATTGTATTTTATATTTTGTGTGTTGTTTAGGGCCATTCTGAATGGAAATAAAATACAGCAGATGTTATAATAGACAGACATATTAAAAAAGCAAGTAATAGAGTAGGAGTTTGCACGGACAATGCAGAAAACACAAAAATTAGGAGGAATGTAAATTTGCTGTCATTTTGTCCTTCTATCTACCATTATTCTTATGAAAATATGCAGTTACACGATTAAAACCTCATCAAGGACTGATTAAAAAAAGCCGCTTCATCTGACAAAAGAGTAGCTTCATTTGAGAGTGATTAGAAGTTCCCACATATAAACACAACACATTCAATTTGGTACTCCAATTTCACCTCTTTGGCCCGGTCACACACAGCCTACTGTGTCGCTCTTTTCCAAAGAAATTTCTCAGGAAGTTCCAGACACAAAAATTAAGCTACTAATAGCTTACAGCTGTTAAACTCTCTACTCTCTTTTCCAAAGAAATCACAAATATACCGAGTCAGGAAGGTCCAAACGCCAATATTTTTTTATACAAATAAAGCCGACATTCTTGCACAACATGAGTGGTGCAGCTCCCAGTGGCACATATTCCCCCACATTTTGGAAAAGCTTTATTTTGTCTCATCACAAACGTTTATTACATACACATGTTTTTAAGTCCCGTCGTATTGTGAGGCTGTCAGCTGTCATGCTGTCTAGTAAAATAACGAAGGGCTTTGAAGGGACAGTATATAATATTGACAGCTAGTGGTTAAAATGGGTACTGTAGTAGAAATTCAAGATAATGGAGAGAGTCGTTTCTCCCAACACCTCCTCCTCAGATGCTCACGCATGTTGCTCGATTGAAAACATGTAACAGGAATAAGCGCAACTGACAATGAAAGGTGACGAAACTTACGACTGTATTTTGATTTGTCCGCGTTTTGATATATTTCTGGTCATAAAACCCTTTAGGTGAATGCCAAAGTTTTTTAGTTCAGGTAGAATTTGCCATTTCTGTCCCAGATCATTTACTGGTTGGTTCAGTTATCAAAAATGACTTGGCTAATTCTTTCATTTATGCATCTTTAACACAGTATTATTTATATTGTTAGTTCTCAAGGGGTGGGTCACCAATTTTATTCTGACAGGGTCAATTCAATATTTGAGTTTAAGGAGATTTTTGTTTAGTTTTGTAAAGAGAAACCAATTGTGAAGCACTGTTTCTGACACGTATTCTACAATCTTGAACAATTTCATAAACCTGAGGAATCTCAACAGGCATTTTATTCCTTGACATGTTGTATTTCATATAAGAATTAAGTTCACCCAAAAATGAAAAATTGGCTGAATTTACATAGCCGATTAATCTGACCAAGAACTACCCACATAGACAGGGCCAACATGTAAACTTACCACAGTTCATTGTATTTTATATTTTGTGTGTTGTTTAGGGCCATTCTGAATGGAAATAAAATACAGCAGATGTTATAATAGACAGACATATTAAAAAAGCAAGTAATAGAGTAGGAGTTTGCACGGACAATGCAGAAAACACAAAAATTAGGAGGAATGTAAATTTGCTGTCATTTTGTCCTTCTATCTACCATTATTCTTATGAAAATATGCAGTTACACGATTAAAACCTCATCAAGGACTGATTAAAAAAAGCCGCTTCATCTGACAAAAGAGTAGCTTCATTTGAGAGTGATTAGAAGTTCCCACATATAAACACAACACATTCAATTTGGTACTCCAATTTCACCTCTTTGGCCCGGTCACACACAGCCTACTGTGTCGCTCTTTTCCAAAGAAATTTCTCAGGAAGTTCCAGACACAAAAATTAAGCTACTAATAGCTTACAGCTGTTAAACTCTCTACTCTCTTTTCCAAAGAAATCACAAATATACCGAGTCAGGAAGGTCCAAACGCCAATATTTTTTTATACAAATAAAGCCGACATTCTTGCACAACATGAGTGGTGCAGCTCCCAGTGGCACATATTCCCCCACATTTTGGAAAAGCTTTATTTTGTCTCATCACAAACGTTTATTACATACACATGTTTTTAAGTCCCGTCGTATTGTGAGGCTGTCAGCTGTCATGCTGTCTAGTAAAATAACGAAGGGCTTTGAAGGGACAGTATATAATATTGACAGCTAGTGGTTAAAATGGGTACTGTAGTAGAAATTCAAGATAATGGAGAGAGTCGTTTCTCCCAACACCTCCTCCTCAGATGCTCACGCATGTTGCTCGATTGAA